TATTGGGTCGCTATAAGTCGACATTGACTTGACGACAGTGATGTGGTGGGTTTTGTGCTTATTTTCCAATATATTTTGTGTGTATGCGTGTGTGTTTTAGCCAAGTCAACGTGTTCATTAGCTGTTTTCTGACTGTGCTCAAAGTGTTCGATTATTTTGCCCAGGTTATTTCTCCGCCTGGAATTCATCCTTCTCTTTGTTTATCACAGTGGCATTGTGTTTGGCAGGAAGTTTGCTTTCAATACATTCTTGTCCTGCCCGTCACTGTAACCCTGTCTGATTTTTGTCATGTTTATGAAATCTTTTTTTTACCTCAACCCCATCTCCAAAGCAAATAGGATTTGTCTGACCTTGTATTCTTGTTGGGCCAGTACAGCGATATTGAACTTGATGCTATTCATCATGCAACTTTTTTTTCCCATGGCTGAAATGCAACATGAGCCCCAGGTTTGAGCACTTCTCAGCTTACCTTGGGGCAGGTGGGGGGGCGGGGGGGGTGTGTGATAGACTCGACGAGAATGGTTGAAGTTAGATCATGAAGAGTCTGAGAGATTCAGGATGCTTTTCCATAGAAAATAAAGAGCTTTTGGATATATTTGAGCAGAGGAAAGATCAGAATTGATCCTTGTGTTAGGAAGTGAACCCGGGAGGTCCTTGCCTTATCCTTTTTGCTTCATTAAAAATTCCTCAAGAAAAAAAAATCCTCAAGAGCAGAAGTTATCCTGCACTTTCTTATTTCTGTTGCAGTCTCTAGATGCTCAGAGTTACCTCTCAGTTAAATTGTATTCATTAGGTAATTAGTTCAGTCATCAGAGGTCAGCTCAAACCTGAAAATTGTAAAAATGATAGCACAAAAATATGGGTGAAAGGAATTGAAAGGAAGCTTCTCTCTTTGATTTCATGCCAAAGTAGAGTGCTACAAGAGAAACCCATTTTCCACAGTAGAAAATTAGAGGATAACAACCCAATCATCAAATAATTATTAACTGGTTCTAATGATGTAGTGAAAATGAAAAAAATACTCATCTTAAATAAATATTTGTATGCAATTGTGATTTGTGAAGAAAAGTCTGGTTTGAATCACATGTCATCCACCAACCTAGTAATGCCAGAAAGTCAGGACGTGATAAACTGATTACCAGCATGAAGCTTTCAGAGAAACATGGCTCTCCCTCAGCTTTGAAACCATTAAAATCCTCTCTGCAAAATGTCTCCAATTATATACTGAGCAGTGATCAGTGCACAGGGAATAGTAATTTCATAACCCGAAAAGGACCACTTTTAAAGACAGGCTCAGGCAGAGGTGACATGTTACTGAGGAAGCTTGCTGCCCATTGTGGTAAAGAACACACTAAGAGGATTACAGCAGGGCGGGGTGGGGAGTGGGGCTCTAGGGAGGGAAGGCAGAAGCCGATATTCTTGATGCATGCGTTTTAAAATTGGCTTGGGATAGAGATATCAGTGCCCAGCCCCTGACTGTTCTTTTAAATCTCTTATTGACAAGTAAAACCTTTCCTACAGAGAAAAATTTGGAACATATAATCCCCATTAGTATTGTGGAAGATGGCTATAACCCTGGCAATTATAACCTGTTGCTCTTTTATCCATTAAAAAAAAAGCATTTAGAGACTACTACAAATTGACACTTTGGTGAATCCATCTTTCAACAACTCTATTGCTGTTTAAATTGGCAAGCTTTGTATTTGAATTGCGCTTGAGGACATAAAATTGTTGGTTTCCGAAATGGAGGAATTTAGATGTCATGATAGTTAACATAAAAGAAAGGATGTTCTTAAGAAAAATAACTTGAGGAATACCTAGTTATGGGAAAATATAGCATAAACGTGCACCAGTGTTTGGCGGCTCGCATAGTCTGCCAGAATTACACAAAAATTTAATTTGATTTCAGCTGTCTAGCATGTGCTTTGCAAATATCAGCAGAATATTAGTGACAACTGTGTAAGGTGTGTGTGTGTATATCTCCAAGTTAGAATTTTAGAACCACAGCATGCCTCTTAAAGCCACTCATGAATCCACCAGTCTGGGATGCTAGAGACACCCTTTTCTGTATGCTGAAAAGGAGGCTGGGAATGGAAAACCATCTTTACTCTGCTATATCTTCGGAAAGAGAGTCATTAAGAAGAAAGCTGTTCTAGATATTACGTGCATACTGAAATGAAGATCAATTTTTAGTTTTAATTTTCAACTAAATGTTATTAGAACAGGAGACATAAAGTACAAAACCCCAACCCCATCCTTCCTCTTTAGATGAATAATTAGGAGCCATTTGAAAATTGTATCCTCAGCTCAAATGCCTTACCTTGTTTGGGTGCCTAAGTGTGTCCTCTCTGGCATCTTCCACCTCCAGATGTTTCCAGCTCCTTTTTTTACAGAGATGGATGGATTGATCAGCTATAGCTTAGGGAAAGGGAAAAATAAGAAGGAAATACCAGGGGGATGAGGAAAGAGATTTTTATAACATCTTTTGTTGTGTGGACTTTCATTTGTTTAAAATCTAATTCTTATTATTTAGCTTGCCCCTGAAATCATTATCAGAGGTAAAAAATCTTATAAGAGGCCCACATAATAAACAATTTGTTTAGAATAAAGTTGTAGTCTATGAAATTCCCCTTTTCTGAAAAAGATTGTTATCTTGTATTTTTTTTCTCAACAACTCTGTAAACAAAACAAAAAACCCTTGAATTTTTCTTTTATTTATTTTGAGTTTGTGTAAAAGAATGTTGAAGGCAGGCTATTCCACATTCATTCACAAGATAGGGAAAAATAAACAAAATATTTTAACTGTGCTATGATGCATACACATCATTTGTATAACTGTTTCTACATTAACATAGTTCATACAGACAAGCAGAGTTATAGTGGCTATTTAAGTGAAGATATACATATTCAAAAAAATTAAAATAATGCCTCTTTAAAACTTAAAAGACTTTCTAATGACATATGAAGTAGCATACACATGTATGATGAATGTTACTTTATGTCTGTGTCCACACACAAGAAATATTGTGAAGGTTACTATTGCTTATTTTTCTGAATTACAACATTAACAATTTGTATCTTCTCCATTCTCATAAATGTTTGGTCTAAGGCTTAATTATCAGGTTTCAGTACAAAGAAAAATGAAAATAAAGTCACCGCAGAGAGATTGAATGGCCATTGTCACTTTTAAGCATATCAGAGCCTCAAACTTGGCAGGATTTTTCTGCTGCTTCTATTTTCATAACACCAAATGAAGCCGAGCTAGTGGGCCTGGTGGTGTCTGCACTCGGAGAATCACTTGGGAACTGTCCAGCAAACTATCTCTTAAAGAACAGCATGGTGTTAATACTGGGTGCCAACCCAAGACCGACACAAAGGACCCTTCAGTCTTCCCCAATAAGCCAACTGTTAAAAGATTAAAACATGTTGTGGAGATAACAAGAATTTAGGGGCTGGCAGCAGGTGTTGTACAAAGAAGCAGTTGGCAGTACAGTTCTTCTGTCTGACTACTTCCAGTCAAAACAACCCCCTGCCCTGTGGCAGGGGAGGTTGGAGTGTGATGGCAACTTGGAGTTAGGGTGAGTAAGAGGGCTACTTTAAATGTTGAGTCCTGTGGAGGATGGATTAGTAGAATATAGTTTCTCTTTGTTCAGAGACTGTGGGGGAGTCCCCTCCAGAAAGCAGCCACTACTGGCTAACTGTGGATACACAATCAAACCGCTGTAAGTCAAATCTGCTTATGTTGTGGGGTTTCTGTACTTTGAAAATCTTATTCTCACATATAGGAGTTATTCTTTTCTCTTTTGAAATGACTGCATATCATCCATTGTAGAGTAATCACCAATTATATTACTTGTGCCCTTACATTATGCCCTGGTTGCATTTGTAAAGTGTTAATCTTTTAAATCATTATTTAATTTCTATATTTTAAAAAAACATTTGCTACTCAGTAAATGTCTAGTACCACCACATATAGAGATGGGACATTTTTTTTGAATTAGAAAATATATGACTATGGAAGCAGTATTATTTACTGGACTTGCAGCAAAAATTGGCATTTTCCCATAGTCTCCTATAAATTGGTACTTAAAAACTTAGCATGATTACCCCACAACAATAATTATCACTGTTAGGACACAGATCTTATTAAATATTAAAGAGCAAATTCGTATCGGTGATGCTAATTCTACAATCAGGTCTATATGAGAAAAGCTGGAAGATGCAAGATCTCTCTGACTTACACAATCTGATGATGCACCTGAGTTGGAGGGATGCAATGTCCCCCATCAGCTCCCTCCTGTCCATCCCCATAGCTACCCCTAATCTCAGCTCATAGAGTGCTCCACATTTAAGAGATTGCATTCACTCCCTACTGTTTTCTCTGCTTTTGATGTCTCCAGCCTATAGTCCATCCTGTTACCCTTCTAGAGTAACCTTACTAAAAACCGCTGTAATCCAGCCTCTCCCTACTTAAAAGCTTTCACTGGTTCCCTACTGTCCACCCAACTATGTGGCCTTACGCTTGAAACCTTCCACGGATTGGAGAAACGTACCCCGTGAGCCTACCCACAAATCCCAAGACACATTGATGACACCTTTTATCCTTCATGGATCCTGTCAGACTGTCTCCATCCTTCAAGACCTCGTTTAGATGGCACCCCTTTCACCCTGCTCTACTTTTTGCTTATCCCTGCAGAAATGATATTGCCATCATTTGCATTCCTCTGTTTATTCCCTCACATGGTGCTTAGTGTGACATTGTGTGCATGTGTGAGTATTTGTTTATGTGTGTGGATGCATGTGTGTGTGATTGTCGTAAATATATTCGGGGCAGGAAAATACATCATCCCTCACAGTCTAGGGATTGCACATCCCAGGTGGCACTCCAGACTATCTCCAGACTATTGAGTAAATAGGAATGAGAGTTAGCATCTGAAAGAAGACTGGCTCAATCAGAAACCTTTCTCAGGTAAAACTGTGTCTTTCTCCTCGTGGTACAGGTGGATCCTAACATCGTTCTGTGTGCCTCGGTTGCCATGGGAAAGTGGAGTTCCTCGAGCAGGGATATGAAAATTGGGAGTCAGATGGCACCCTCAGTCCTGGGGCCGGCAGCCAGCATGTGGCTGATCACAAAGGTACCCTTAAAGTATCTTTTGCGGGGTGGCTTCCTCTTGTTCACTTGCTCTCAGGGCTACCCCAGCACCGGGTGCCTTCACTGCACACAGGTATACACACAGAAGTGTGATAACTGATCGGCTGTTCAGAATGTTGCTTCACTGCTCTGGATATTGTCTGGCCCAGGGGACTTCTGTAGTTCCCCAAATGACCATTCAGACCTGCTGGTGAATGCAGAGCCCAGAGTGTATTTAAATCCCGTGAAGAGCTTACTGATCGTTCACAGCCTCAGCATTTTCCTGGAATTTGTCTGAATGCCATTTACTTCCACGTCTTCATCTTTGTTGCTGAGCTTCATCAGCTCAGCGTCACCAGATTAACAGCAGACAATGATTTTGCATATTGTCTTTGCAAGGACACAGTATTAAACAAAACCCCGATCATAAAATGTGAGCAGTGCCTCCCATATTCTAAGTGTGCATGAGGGGTGCAGTAGGTATTTTCACATGATGATTGCTACTGGTTCTGATTCTGATTTAAATGGGAAAAAAGGTCAACGGCGCCAACCTTTGCTCTGACTGTTGAACTCTGTTTGTAATTGCTGCCCCACGTTGATGTCTGGAAAGAGAGGTGTGGGTGCTATCTACCCTTGCCTTCTCACTGTATTTCGGGGCTTCTCACCACTGCCATGAAGGCAGTCACCCACTCAGATTTGCTGCTACATAATCCCCTGTGAGGTAAAAGAAAATAGAACAAATTGAGTAAAAACTATCATGAGAGTTTGTTCATATCATACATCAAGACACAATGAGGTTAGATGAGATGTGATTTAAATCTGTTTCCAAACTAGAGACTCTAATAATTCTTAAGCTTTATTATGGCACATATTTTTCTCTAATAGTAATTAAATCTGCTATATCATTAATCATATATCATGTGTTAGTCATTATATCCATGCCGTATACCCACTGCAGTCTCTTTTAGATTAGGAAACATTTCAAGTTTGTTTATAATCAGCCCTGGTGGCACAGTGGGTTACCAGGTGGGCTGCTCACCACAAGGTCAGCAGTTTGAAACCATCAGCCTCTCTGCAGGAGGAAAATGAGGATTTTTCTGCTATAGTAAACCCACAGTTTCTAAACCCACAGGGGCAGTTCTGCCCTGCCGTATAGGGTCACTATAAGTCAGACTTGACCCAGAGGCAGTGGCATTTTATAGCCATAGAGATTGAGGTTAATAAGGGACAGAGGGAAGATTATTGGTCAGTATGATTCAAAACTTAAGCTTTTTCACTATAGTAGAAAACATTGTTTTATTTTTATTTATTTATATCCTTTTTTGTTTAATACACTTTATTTTATTTATTTTAAGATCATTTTATTGGTGGCTCTTATAGCTCTTATAACAATCCATACATCAATTGTATCAAGCATATTTCTACATATGTTGCCATCATTATTTTCTAAACATTTACTTTCTATTTGGGCCCTTGGTATCAGCTCCTCTTTTTACCCCTTAGGAACAGAAATGAGAATAGCGATATCAGGTGGGTAGGGGGAAGGTGGGGATAGGTGAGGGGAAGAAATCACAGGGGAAGGGAGATAGCAGTCAGTGTAAGACATGAAAATAATAATAATTTATCAAGGGGTCACCGGGATGGAAGGGGGGAGGGAGGGCGAAAACATTGTTTTATATTGAACCATCTACAAGCATGATGGCACTGTTTCAGTCTTAGCCCTTCCACTGAAGGGGATGCCAGGCAAGTCACACTCCCTGGCTGAGCCTGAAGTTTCTCATCTGGAAGAACTGGGAAAAGTTGGGGCACTTGATACCAAAGGGCCTTTCTTAGAGCTCTGATTCTGTCATTCCATGGCATCTGTCTATAGAATTTCAGAAATGCTTAGGGAAAGGAGTATGGCTTTAGGGATTAGATAGATTGGGTTTGGAGTCTCATTTCAGTTTCATGTGAACTTGGGAAAGGTATTTAGCTGTACCAGGTCATCGTTTCCTTACCTGTAAACCCAACCAGCCACACTAGCCCACCGAGGGTGTTCTGAAGCTGTGAATCCTTATGGGAGCAGGTATCTCCCTTGTTCTCCAGCAGAGTGACGGGTGGTTTGAGCCACCGGCCTTGTGGTGAGCAATCCAGAGCTGACCCATCAGCACCACTAGGCCTCCTTCGTAATAAGCCTGTAAGACATGGAGCCTTCTTTCCTGGTGGTTGGCACCTGGTTAAAATAGTGCGTATGTGACTCACCAAATGAGAAAAACCTGGTAAGTGCTTTTCATACAATCTTCCTAATCAAATCCCTTAGCAGGAAAGCCTAGCGTTTAAAACAAAAGCAATTCATAAAAACACCTGAAAATGTTTAACCTGTGGTATTTAAACCCAGAGTAAAAACCTTTACCTTGATGCAAAGGTTCTGGATTTGTTTCAATCTTTTCAGCTCACTGCACTTTCCCCCCATGCATACATATTGCCAGTAAGCTCCATAGTTATAACTGTAGTAAGTGACACGCGATAGACCCCAAATCGCTGCACTGTGAAATATGCACAGGAAAAGGGAAAGGGGGACAAATGAAGATAGCAGGTCTGTTTTAGTTGCGCTGAACTGTAAAACGCCGCCCTGTTGGACAGAAGATCACGCTTCAGAGCAGGGCTCCCTGACCGCTAAGTTGTGGGTCCTTTTTCACGTTCGGCAACTGTTAATATCCGGGGTTATCCAGGCATAATGACCTCACTATTTGTGACACATTGTTGAATTTTCTGGTTCTTTTAACTTATTTAGACCTTTCTCTCCACTCCCCACCCACCCCCTTCATTGGCAGACGGGAATGATCCTGAGTCGAGCTATAACTCAAGGCTGTTTGGCTATTGGTCACCCAATCAGAGTCAAGGCTGCCGAAGGAACTTCCCGAGAAGGCTATAAACTAACCCTACAGAAAAGGTAATGCTTACAAGCCACTGTCATCTTGACCCAGGGCGGCTGTGACAGAAATGGCACCAGTGAGTGACTTTAGTAAACACATTGCCTTCTCTCACAGCCGACGAGGTGGCTGTTGTTATCTTTAGGTGCCATCAGGTCGGTTCCAGCTCATAGCCACCCTGCGCCCGGAGAAGGAACCTCCTCCTGGTCCTGAGCCATCTCCACGGTTGCTCTGTGGAGCTCGCTGTCAGAGCCGCGGTGCCAATTCTCACTGAGCATCTTTGCCCTTTTATTTATTTATTTTTAATCATTTTATTAGGGGCTCATACAACTCTTATCACAATCCATACATACATCAATTGTATAAGGCACATTTGTACATTCATTGCCCTCATCATTTTCAAAACATTTGCTCTCCACTTAAGCCCCTGGCATCAGCTCCTCGTTTTTCCCCCTCCCTGCCCCTCCCCTCTCCCTAATGAGCCCTTGATAATTTATAAATTATTATTTTGTCATATCTTACACTGTCTGACGTCTCCCTTCACCCACTTTTCTGTTGTCCATCCCCCAGGGAGGAGGTTATATGTAGATCCTTGTAATCTGTTCCCCCTTTGCTCCCTACCCTCCCTCCACCCTCCCGGGTATCGCCACTGTCAGCACTGGTCCTGAAGGGATATCTGCCCTGGATTCCCTGTGTTTCCAGTTCCTATCTGTACCAGTGTACATCCTCTGGTCTAGCCCGATTTGTAAGGTAGAATTGGGATCATGATAGTGGTGGTGGTGGCAATGGGGAAACTAGAAGAAAGTTGTATGTTTCATTGTTGCTACACTGCACCCTGACTGGCTCATCTCCTCCCCGCAACCCTTCTGAAAGGGGATATCCGGTTGCCTACAGATGGGCTTTGGGTCCCCACTCCGCACTCCCCCTCATTCACAATGATATGATTCACACTGATATGATTTTTTGTTCTTTGATGCCTGATACCTCATCCCTTCGACACCTCGTGATCACACAGGCTGGTGCGCTTCTTCCATGTAGGCTTTGTTGCTTCTCAGAGCATCTTCCCCCTTTAAAACATTTTTTTGAGGAAGTTAGAAGTCTGAATTTAAGGTGCCAAATCTAGGGGAACGCTTTCTCTCTCAGTGCTAAAAGAAGTCCTTATCTTCTTGTGACATATTTGGGCCCCCGCATTCTTTGAAGAGATCCAGATATCTCGTATCAGGCTTCCACTGGGTCTAGGAGGTTTTCAGCACAGGGACCCTGGGTCCAAAGGATGTCTTCTGTTCCCAGCTTTTTTTTCCTTGATGGTACTGAGGCCCCTCTCTGGCTCTGCTCCCTTCTCTTTCATTTTAGTTTTTGTAAGATAAAAGCTGATGTAGACCACACCCCAGGGAACTTATTATCAGATCAAGGGTGTGACCTGAGTAAGGGCAATGCCTCTCCTGTAAGTCCCTTTCAACAGTTGGCTAACTTACATCATATATAACTGCCAAACCATGTGAACCACGATCCTGTCAAATGGACACGGGGTTCTGTGGGACACAACCACACCCACAGCAGACAGTATATGCTAATTCCGAGATTTCTGAGCAATCAAATGATGATGCTTTCTAGATTAGATGTGACATTCACTAGAAGTCTACATTTGTGTATGTAGTGTCATTTTTAAATCTAAAATGAGCCAGAAAATGCTGCATTGGTAGTGTTTCTTAAGAAAATGAAATATTGGCTTCAACATATGCCTGTGCTATAGACTCTTGTTTACTCTCTAATTATAAAAACTCATTCCTTTATTTCTATTTTGATTGCTAATTTTTTTTAATTCTTCGTATTTTCCAAACTTTTTCTCTATCTTCCAAATATCAAATATTGAACTATGAAAGAAAATCCAGAGAGATAGAAAATTGTTGGCTTCAAAGAATCTTAAGTGCCCTTCCAACCTATTGTGTGTGACTTGGAAAGACAAAAATAAGAACTAAATTACTTTTCAGTTTAGCAGTGAGTAATAACGGTAAGTTATATCTAACTATCTGCTAACATTGTTTGCTGGAGGCTTACTTTGTTTTTGCTCCTTTGCCTTTGGATTGCAACCAGGGTTTTCCAAGAAGAGTCTTCAGGTCATAGAAAGCCGTGGCTCAACTATTTCGGCCTGTGTGAGCAGCAGGGTATACTAGCTTCTGCACCCAGAACTGCTTCCTAGAAGAAAGGATGTAGATGTCAGAGAAACAAACCAAGCCAAAAACACGGCAGGAAAATTTGCTGTGATAACTAAAAAGCAGGATGTCTACCCTGCGTAGGAATATGCATAGTAGTTACCAACACAGGCACAGAGTCAAGTTCCCAGGTGACTATCCTGACTATACCATTGCCTCTCATAAAAATTTGAATTAGAAATGCCACTTATAATATCATCAAGAGTATGAAATAGTTAAGGACAGGTCTAACAAAATATTTGCAAGACCTATTCCTTAAAAAGTACAAAACATTGCTCAGAAAGTGGAAGACTTAAATAAATAAAAAGATATTCCATGTTCATGGATTGGAAAACCCATTCTTAGTATGAAGTACATTTTGTCCACATTGATCTGAAATGTAACAGGTTCAATTAAAACCCAGAAGGCTGTTTTATAAATGATTTTTATTTTAGGAGTGGTCAATCTGATTTTAAAGTTGATATACAATTGCAAAGGACCTAGAGTAGGTAAAACAGCTTTGAGAATAAAACGTTGGAACACTCATTTTAGGTGAACTCAAAACTTGCTATAAATCCCCAGTAATGAGACAGTCCTCAAGGTAGACTGTTAGGATCTAGGTAATTAAAAAAAAACCCAAACATTTAGAAATATGCTAACACACATACATCAATTGCTTTCTGACCAAGCTTAAAGGAAAATGAATTGAGGGATATTCTTTATAATTGGATGCTTATGTAAAAAAGCCAAACTTTCTCATATTGTATAAAAAATTAACTCAAAATAGATCATCACCCTATATACATAAACCCCAAATATAAATATTCTAGGTAAAAACAAAAACATTGTTGTAACTTTGGGTTAGAGAAAGATTTTATAAATAAGACACCAGTAGCATGATTCATAAAATTCTATATTTATAAATTGTACTCAAATTGAGAATTTCTACTCCTAAAATGTATTTCTCACAAGCTAAAAATAAGCCACACATTTAGATAGATAATTCACCACAAAGAATATACAGATGGCTCTTGGATAGATGGTTAAGCTCATTTCTTAGGCTTATGGAAAACAAACCCACAATGAACTATATATCTGTTATAATATTTAGCAATAAAAGCCACCATCGATGGCCTGAGACTACCATATACTGTACTGCCTATTTTAAAGGCCTCCTTGCTTTATTAAGATATGTATTCATCTGGTAGGCCTGGTTCCACCACTCTCAATGAATATCATTGAAAGTTTTGCCTTATCACCAACCCCATTGTTGTGTAAATAGTGTTCAGTCACTTAAGAGTGTACTCTGTACAAGTCAGTAATTCATATATTGCAGTTTGTGGCCAGCCCATACTTGTATAATCTCTTTTTCTCAACTGTATTTTAAATTCTATACCATTGACTAAATTAATGACACTGTCAAGGAAAGGACCCGATGTCACCTAATAGCAACAGCAGCAGCGACAGAAAGTAGATGAATGGTGGCTGGAAATAGGGACGTGAGAGGGCAGCAGGCAGGGGCTACAAAGGAGCATAAGCAAGTTTTGGGGGTTATTTTAGAGGTGATAGATATGTCTAGCATCCTGAGTATTATGATGCTGTAGCAGATATGTAATATTTCAAAATTTATTAGAGTTTACATTATTAAAATATTCAGTTTATTGGATGCCAATTTTATTCCAATAAATCTGTCATGTAAAATCTTAAAAAGGCAAGCTAGGAAATAAATTTGGAAAATCAAACAGATGAGTAGAGAGCAAGTAAGCCATTGCTTTACCTGGGGATCCTCTGAGAAGGGGTCTTTAAGAGGGAAAGTTGATCAGTGGCCTCGTCAAAGTGGGCGGACCTGGGGAGGTTGTAGCTAGTTAAGCACAGAGACTAAAAGTAGTGCAGCTTCTTACCAGCTCCTCTGCTCTTAGTCCACTGCCTGCTTCACTTTATACCCCGGCCAGGGTCATCTAGGGATTGAGTAGGACTGAAGCCACACACCCAATATACTTGTTCCTCAAGAAGATGTCCGAAGTACAGAAAGAGATGATTTTATAAAGCAACAACAAACCATAGTCAATTTAGCTTTAAAAACTCTACTGATAAGAAAGAATTCTATTCAATCTATAAAGGAAGTGATGGAGGAAGGGAGGAAGCGAGAAGGATCTTTATGCAAATAAAGATTATTTGCCCTTTTAAAAAAGTACAATTTGATGTAAATCAACTGCAGTGTGCAGGGAAAGTAGCAGAAAACTTGGAAAACTAGAGATCTCATCTTCTGTCAAGCTACATTTTATTTTCCGGATACCAGCAATGACCAAATTTCTCAGAGCCCACTTCCCTTCTGGGTGTATAATTTAAAATAGGTTTATCTCTGTCAAAGCACTCGAGATATCTGTGTGGCTTTCTCTCTCTCTTTTTGAAAAAAATAAAACCATGTGACAGCAGCTTCTAGAGATAGAACTTTTCCCTTTTCTCCTAAACAGTATAATACGATTTTCACAGAAGCTAGGAATCAAGACATAGCCTTTTATAATGCTAAAATAATAGAACTAGCACTTAAAGTGGCACCCTGACAGCTCACAAATTATATTATAAACATATCATGCCTCATTAGTTCAGTTATGTCTCATGAGGTGTCACTCATATTATTCTTATTCAATACAGCAAGTGCTTGCACATATTTGCCTTTAATATTCCATGACTGGATGGAAGGCAAACCAACAAGGTCATTACCAGTGGATCTGAGAAGTCTCAAAATCTTCAAAAAGATGCTTGTGGTCAAAAAATATTTTGGACAACTTGTAGATAAACCAGTTGGTTATGTTGAATCTTTGATA